TGAAAAGAGAGCCTTTTCAACTTGCGAGCAATACTTTGGGTATGTAAGGACCAGCGAAAGTTACTTTCAAGTGTGACACAATACTGGTTCTGACCTTCATTTTGTTTTCTCTTTTTGGCTGCACAGGGCTGTTGATGAGACTAAATACTCTTCCGTTAAACTGCGCCCAATCGTTCACCACAGCAGTAAAGCGAAAGTCACATCGGTTGGTAGAACTCGATCCAATTACACGGTGGGATAGGAAGTTTGGACAATTAATCGCACCAAATCAAGGGGATTAAGTGCATTTTAAACTAAACTCTACCGGTGTTTGTTACGGCTGGACAACGGATGAGACCGTTTTGCGGATGTGCTGCTCGAAACTACATTAGATTAGCTAAATGTAATTTGGATTACCATTTTGCAAAAGTGATTTACATAGCAGACATTATTCTAGCAGTGTAAATCTTATAATTTCCGTAATATTTGAGTTTTTGTCCTATTTTCGTAGTCTTGTTTTGCTGTTGATGTATGCTGTCAGACGGAAACGCAAGTTAGTGCACTCATATAAGTAGTATCCGTGCAATATAAACAATCTTCTCGTTTTAAATTAATCGCCTGAATGAGCATTCAACAAAGTTTATTCAAACACAGGTGTTATTGTACACGCACAAAACATGACTGTTCGGGTGCTATATCCATACAAACGGCATTGTGAAGTATGCGGTCTAGCACATCTCTTCGATGCAACGTCATCTTACAACACCACCACATCCGATGCCTACTATTCCGAACTATAGCCTGGTTGATGAGCCACTAGAAGGTAACTCATTTAGGGAAGCTGTAAAACCATGTTTTCTAAATAGTAGTCACCATCTACGATAAACGCGAATTACCTCAACACCCTCGAATACGGTGAAGAGCAATAAAACTATTGCTTTGAACGAATAAGAAGACGGACAACGCGTGACCAACGGTTTGTAGAACGAGATCTGCAGGGGCAAGTTTACACACACAACAAGGTAGCGTGACTCACCGGGACAATTGAAAATTCCGCATAAATAGGCAAATTACACCGGGTAAGAGGAAAACTTGTTTTGAGTCGAAGAGGACTCGTAAGCAAAAGGTGAAAGTACTGTTCTACAACAATTTCAATCTCCAAGAAGAGGCACGCAAACTGGATTCAGGAAAACTAGGTTGAACTGGTCACTTTCCCGACTGGACTACAAAGCGCACTGGACAACCTTATCGAGCACACCCAAACTGAGTGGAGTAGGATCTGACTTTTAGGACACCGATCCTCCAAGTGTCTGTTTTTCCCCACCGCGCCCCATTGTCTTGCCGGTAGTGCCGTTTACTAACAGAAGATTCCGGTTGTGAATACCTAGGAGAATTCACCCATGTTGAGTTGGCAACCGGTATTTCCCCCAAGAGAAAACAATGAACCAGGTTCTTGGTCACAATAATCGTTATACAATGATTTATTTGACAAACAGTCAGGACTCAGATAACTATGAGAAATAAACTTATCCGTTTTCACTTTTATCAATTGACGTATTTATGGTTCTTAGTTTTACTAAGAACCTTGTTTAGAAGACATCTTTTTATTCACAGGAACTGTCAGTGATAGTCTATCTCAATATGATAGATTTGTTACTACCAGACCATTACCGAGACGAGTGAAGAGCACTGCATGTAAGGCGATTTCATTTTATATGGGATAACTTGGTGTCTGACAGGAACAATCAATGCTCTGTGCATAGTTGAAGCAGGTGAACTCAGTTATTCGAGCGGATGGGATCGCATGTTGACCGCCAAGGCGCTTTTCCGACTCATTGAGATATCTCACCTGAACACTAAAGTCGTCAGTGACCACTGCGGCACCCGTAAAGCAAACAGCTTGAAACTATCAATCACTGTGGAATTCACGTTTCATTTCAGATCAGTTGTTTCTGAGACTGACACGAAAAAAACCGCATTTCTTTACTCCTGATTCACAATGAACCACGAGGCATACTGACAAGAACCTAACCAAGAAGTGAGTGTTCAGTTTGGACGTGACCCTGATGCCGAGTAAAGTGCTGAACACAAAGTGAGCGTTAGATGCTGAGCTGCTCCACACATGAACAATGGAGTGTGTGGACAAAGTCAGGTCTTGGGAAGGTAGCATGACTAGTTTAGATGTTTCCATTTGAAAACACACTCCCGACGTAACGATTGTAGTCTCCTATGCAAGATAGATTTTCGGTGGGTCTGATATTGAATAGGCAACTGAATACGATCAATCTAGTGGTTTCTACCAGGCTTACGGTAATTATTACACTCTAAGTGACATATCCTGATAAGCAATTCATGTGCTTTTGTAAGGAAAGGTCAAACTGCCAAATGATTATGTGAGACCTCATTTGAACCGCGATCCATTGGTATGCACTGTGTTTTGGGAAACAGCAAAAAGTTAATTCGTTGGTACAAACGGAAACTCTATGTAAGACCAGCGGTCGTATGTGGATCTCGAAATCTGAAACCTAATTCTACTCTCTCTGTCCTGCCAACAAGCTTCCCCATCCCTANCCCCCCCCCCCCCCGCTTCGATAGAATACACCTGCCCCGTATGGATGCATACATGTTCGGTGTGTATTTCCATTTTTGTGGTATGCCTATGTACAATGTAAACACGTGTATGACATTTGTGTCAACTGGATCCAAGTAATCTCTACAGTGTATATTTCACCAACAGTGCGCTCACATGAAGCCGTGTAGAAGAAGTGCGTGCGCGCCTGTGTGTGTGAGCAAAAAAGTGAGACAATCCAATAGACAAAACCATTGCAATAACCTGTCCGAGTTGTGGGATTGGACAAAATACGAAAAGTGGTAGTTGGAAGAGAACAAATTGGACAGAAATGCAGCCAATCTCTAGTTATGATTGATGCACAATAGGGTCTTTCATACACACAATCACAGGTTACAGTTGGTTCAAAACGGCACAGTTACACACACGCACACCAGTGAGTGAGTCAGCAGTTTCATTGCTGTGTGTGTCGTGGAGCGTGCAGCGTAGTCGGGGCGGGACGAGATGGAGGAGCGACAGGGCAGGTGAGTAGTCAAAAGCTCCACCTCCACCTCTCCACTATGGTGAATATGTGTCAGAAACGAAAGCGTGTTTCACACAAGAAAATAATAACCTAAAATGGCTTAATGGACCACAAAACAAATAGAATGACAGGCAAACCACAGGATGGTCATGCTGTTCCTCGGGTAAGGTATTTTCGTCTTTGCACAGACCCGGTGAGAGAAAAAACGACTTACATTGCTGTCTTGCAAAGTAGGTAATGCAAATGCGGTCGAACAGGATGCACAGAGTAAAATGGAATGTGATTATGTACATAACTGCGGAAATTTTGGTCGGGAAAAGCGCATTAGAGGCGCAGAAGAGAGAGAAAGATAAGAATGGCAAGAGAGAGAGAGAGAGAGAGAGAGAGAGAGAGAAACAACGCCGAATGACAGAGTCGAAAGTCACCATCCAAATAGGATTCCTGTAATGAAACAAAACAGTCTATCTGTCAGACGAAATTCTTTCAAACAAAGCTAGCCTGTATCTTGGGAAATGAGACCGCATAGTTTCCACTGGGTCTAGTGGACTCATCATCCGGGACCAGTTTGGAACCAGCAAAATCGACAAGCATCAGTTTCGGGGAGCTGGGTTGTTTGGCAGATTCATGCAACGTGGAATAGTAGCCGTTTATGCCTCGACCCGTACCGTGTTTGTTTGAATTGGATCGTTTTAATTGTTTCCGGGGTGTAGCGTGGCGTGCATGAATAGTATTGTTAAACTCGTATGTGCTTCGATGTCCGGAACGTAGCGCATACGGCCCAATCGGATTCACCTCGAAATGATTCAGAGATGGATCTGAACGCCACTGTGTGAGTTGATTTGCTTTCCAAGTACTACTTCCACCCAGATGTCCGTCATTCAGAGCACCGGTATTCGGGTCTTGGTCACGGGCATCGAGGATGTTTGAACTGGTGTTCGGGATCCGGCCAGTTTTGTGTCTCCCATGACGACCTTGAGAATGTTTGGAAGCCTTGGGATTGGACAGAGGTGCAAGTGTATGATTACCCACATAGTGTTGATCAGTGGGTGCAATGCGCTATCAAACGGATTCGTATTGAGGTACAGGGATGAAAGAGGGAGAGAAGTTATAGTTCATATCAGTAGCATACGGGAAGTTAAACGTTTAAATCCAAGCATGCCCTCATGTACAGTCGTTCAGTCAATCAACCAATCAGCATGACTGAATAAACTGTGATAATATATTAGGAGAAAACGATTAAAAGCATTGTTAAAACCAAGCAATAATCCACGGTCATTGAGAAGCACAAGGAGAAAGCTCGGAGGAAGTAAAAATTTCTCACCCATATACCCAGCCAATCTTATAGTTTGTCCATCAAATAGAGGTTATCCCATCCAAAGGCATTTGCACTCCCCATTTTCAGCAGCGTGCATAATAAGCAATTACGTATGTCACCCAAAAGTATGATGATCGCCCAGGACGAGTGTCTTCCATCTTCTTCCATTATACCGACTGACCGGAGAGACTATGCGCAACAAGCATCAATCGAGGAGCCTCATTTACGGAAAGGAAGCTGAGTCTATTGGATTTCATGGTCGTGTTGTAGTTTTGCCATCATTAGTTCCAGAAATATGCCCATTCGTAATCCCTGATGTACATGTTGCTTTAGCAATTCACGGTGGAGAAATAAGACTGTCGAGTGCAAACTCTACTGCATGGAAG